GAGGAAGTGTCTCTTAACAAAGGCTGTCCTTGTATGCTCTGAATCCCCTCCCCTTCGAGGGACCTGCCCCCTCTTATTCTCTCATTTGTTCTCATTCCCATTCATTCCCATTCTCTCCTTCCCCCTTCCTCCCCTCCCCTCCCCTCCCCTCTCTTGCTCTTCATCAGTTATAAACTTTCTCAAGTATGTTTCAGCTTGAAGTTCCACACCCCTCAAGCCTTTCACCTTCTCTCTCGCCCTTCGTGGGCAACATCTTGAAAGCATTGCTTCCATTAATGTCGTTCACGCTCTCGCCCGACTTTACTCCTTAACTTCCTCCAGTCTGACTTCCATCCATCACTCCGAAAAGTAGCTCCTCTGTGTATTAAAACAGCATTTGACCCAGCTGGTCATGACTCCTTCTAGAAAAGCTTTTGCGACGTCTTCCAGCTCCTCCTCCGTAGGCAGCTTCCTCTGATTCCCTTTGTTGGATCTTCATCCCTTTGCTCACCTATAAATGGGCCTCTACTCCTTGGCTTTCCTAAGAGCAGAGTCCTGGGCTGCTTCTGCCTGCTCTTCCTCTGTTCTCTGCCTCAGCAAATTCCATGGCTTCAGGAACTGCATAAGTGACAACTTCCAAATTTCTGTCTCCTGCCTAGACCTACCTTCTAAAATCTTCAGCTATATTGCCACTTGTCACTTTGACATCCCCACTTCCAATTCAAAAATGTCCGAGACTGAACTCCCTACTGGCCAACTTGCCTCAGTAAATGGTCTATCCAAGTGCTTAAGCCAGACACTCAGGAGTCATCTTTGTTATTTTTCTCCTTCAAACACAACATCTAGTCCCTTACCACATACTCTTGATTTTATTCTAAATACATATCAAATCTGTCCATTACATCTCTCAGCTGTGTTGGAGTTGAAGAAAAAAAATGAAGTTTCTACCCTGAAGCATCAGAAAAATGCTACCAAATTTCTATGTAAATGTGTGGTTTATAAGAGAAAGCTTAGCCTGAGCTTCTGTCAACCACTGTAAATATCTCTGCATTCAGTCAGAAACTCGCCCCATCACCCTCACTAATTCTTTTGATATCTTTTGGTCCCTTACTGCTTATTAGTTATACCAAACTTTACTATTATTTTGGCATGATAGTGCCAGTGGTCTTAGGTGAGAGGAAATTAATTTAAAGTTACCTTAAAACATGATGCTGTACATTTTAGGGAAGGGATAAACAGAAAAGTACTCTCCTGTGAGTGGGAACATGGATTGGTGTGGCCATTGGATTGCAGTGTAGCCCTATCAAGAGTTTAAATGCATGTTCTGTTATTAGAAATTTAACCTACAAATAACATCAAAGGAGCCAAAAAATGAATGAGGATAATCATTGCAGCATTGTTTATAATAGCAAAAAATCTAGAAACTTAAGTATATATAATTGATACATCCATATGTTAGATATAGCCATTAATAGAGACAAGAAGAAGAATGAGCTGGATTTCATGTTATTTTTTTTAAAATAAATTACCAGACTGCATGACTAGTGTGATCCCACCCATGTATTTCCTTTGCATATTTTATATTTAATATTGCCAGAATATTCATGAGACGTTCTCCAGAGCCATAGAAATTTAACAGCAGTAACCTTTGTGGAGAACGAAAGACGTCTAGGGTGGAAGGGACTGACTTTCACTTGCCTTTTTTATATGAATGTGCCATTTTTAATTTTGACAAATAAATAGAAAAATTTATAGAACATGAATTTTTAAATACAGGTATTAGTGGTCCATATAGTGGTGTATTTCTGAGTCCCAGGCTCAGAAGGAAACCCTTCAGGGTGTGACTTCTTACCCTTTGACTGCAAAATAAACCGTTCACAGCAAAGAACTATAAATTCGTGAATCTTTGTGGAATTACATTTTTAAGAATCCTGTTGATAATGGGTAGGTTCTGTATATATGGGGGCAGAGTGTATATGGGAAATCTCTGTACCTCCCTCTCAATTTTGTTGTAAACCTAAAACTGTTCAAAAAAAATAAAGTCTTTAAAAAAAATCCTTTTGTTTTCATATTTGAAAAAAAAAGGTAGTAATCTTCACCAGGCATCTAAAGTAATAATAGTGGTAGTAGCAGTAATAATAACCACCACCACCTTTTAAAACATTTATTTTTAAAGTAAAGGAAAAGTAGTTCATCGATCTTTTGCCCTTTCAGTATAAATCCTCTGAAGATGTCGTTGGCCCTCACCTGAATAAACAAATGCAGATGTGCAGCTTACTGCTCCCCTGCTGCTGAGGACCACGGGAACCCAGGAGTGAACGAGGCCCTCGGCCTTCCTGATTCTAAGTGTTACTGGGCGGCTTAATCCCTCCTGTGTCTAAATTCAAAAGATAACACCAGAATGTTGGCTTTGCTAAATTGTCTTTTTTTTATAGGATCAGGCCACTAATTTAACACTATTTAAATAAAAGTAAATTTTTGCCAAAGTCCAACCACTTCATTCTCTTAACTACTGAAACATCTGTTTGAAAAAATTAAACTGAAACCAAGGTCTGGGGTTTTTTTTTTTTTTTTTTTTTTTTGCCTAGTATTGACTTCAGAGTCAATACATAGTCAATTCTAGAGTCTTCTTTAGTTTTCCATCTTTGCTTTTGCCTCTGGTTTACCCAGCCTGCACCTGACTGCTCAGGTTTTTGGATTTTTTTCACCCCTCATGATTCTGTAGTTTACTCTGTCCAGTGGCCTGTAATTAAATAACATACATTGGCTCCTCTCTCTAACTTGCACACAGCCGCTCATCTCCCCTCGCCTCCTCAGCCCACCCTCCTTCATACCCCATCACTGAAACTAGCTATTTATAAAGAATTTCCAAGACCATGGCTGCCTGCCATACTGCTTCCCAGAAAGTGTCATTTCTGCGTTGTTTTTGTAATATACAGTCCTCAGATGTCCCCTTGCCAGCCCCCTGGGCCCAAACTGTGCTTTGTTTTGGCTTGTTCAATTCATGCTAAACTGCTATACGTTATTAAAATGCTGCATAATGTGTTTTATTTTTCTTTAGAGTGAAAAGACACTTTAATTACATCATATTAAAGAAACATTTCAAACATTCTACTTATAGAAACAAAAGAGAATGGATATATTTTGGTTCAAAAAGCAGCTGGAAATTTTGAAGTGGGGTATAAGTATTATGTGAAAGACCTTATTGTATTTTAACGTTCTTTATATTGAAAACTAATCCTAAAATTTTATTCTAAAAGCCCTTTAAACCATTTAAGATGCAGAGGAAAGGAACTAAAAGAAGATACTTTTAAATATCTAAACTGTTAGTGATGCTGAATAATAAGGACATTTCGCCTTTACCAGTGGATAAACTACCTTTCATTTTTTGGAATGGTAGTTAAAATTGAATTTTTATTTTTCTTGTATAAAAAAAGCAAATTCAAAATACTTCTGTTGACACAATGTTATTATCTGTTGTAACAAAGAATAACACTAAGTAGAATTTTCAAAATTATATGCATTTTTTCTCTGTGTTGAAATGTGATAGGAAACCATGAATGTTAGCCCTCAGTGATAAGAAGACATCACTTTGGAAAAATTCAATAAGTAATTAAACTTACTCTCTAAATGCGACAGATATAAAGTAGTCTGTATCCATGTTCCACATGTCTACTATAATTTCAAAGGTGATGGTTCGCACTCAAAGAAATGAGTCTCCTTACTTTATGGCCATGCCTTGTATGTGCCACATGGGGATATTCCTCCTAGGAATTAAGGAAATAACTGGAAATAAGTGATAAACTTTATACACAAAAATTCCACCATAGCATTATTTATAATTGCAAAAATTGGAAACAACCTCTAAGTGATAAACAATAGGGGATATTTAGTAAACTATGATATGTCCACCCAATAGAAGATCTTATGTAGCTACTGAAATAGTAAGAATGTTTATCATTGTATGTACAGTGTGATGGTAGTATATAGAAGCAGATAATCAAAAATTATGCTTAGATAAGAGACAGAGGACATATACTGATATAATAACAGTAGTTGTGTGTCCCTCTGGGTGATGATATTGTTGGTGATTTTCTTTTTTAGTTTCTTCCTCTTCTTTTATATTTCCTTATTTTGTGTAATGAGCATTTATCACTCTTAGAATAGGTAAGAAGATTTTTTTGTAATAAAAAATAAAAGCCTTGAACTCAGGCTAGTTAAGAAAGATGTGACATGTGATAAGCAAATGGCTTTATAACCTCATCTTCTGTTGATGGGGGTCCTTTGCATACCTCTTGTGAGTTTTGTCATCAGGAAATACAGAGCTGTTATAGAATTTCAACTTGTGGTAACTGTTTTTGCACAGAGAATACAATGCTAGCTGTATAATGAGATATATGTATATTTTTTATATCTTTCCCCCTCCCACTTTTGAGAAAATCAAACAGATTTAAACCCAACCATTTTAAATTTAAGGACTTCTTAGAACCATATGTTGGATTGTTTTGTTTCTATATTTCTCAAAAATAAAGACATTCTTTGAAAATATTCATTGTGAGCAATTGTAAAATGAATTTTATCTCGCCTCTATTATTACTGTGTCCTTTGTTTTCTGAAAGATGTAGCCCCTCACTCACTGAGTGTTTGAACTTTTTTCTCCCTGAGAATTCTATTGTAGATTTACATATTTTCTTTTCTTGTATGTAATTATTTATGTATGTATTATGTTAGATGGCAATGAAGGATACTGAATTTTAGTCAATTTACTAATAAGATAGAAGCTATGATGTCAGCCCAATAGCACATTTATCATGCTCAACTAGGCACCAGAGGGAGAGTGTTCTTGGTTCAATTTTCAGACATGAGGCCAGCACCAGGGAGACTGACTTCTTAGGTCGCTGTACCACGACACCCACTGCCGCCACAGGACAGCAGTACCGGACTGGTGTCTAGTCTTCTGTTTGTGGCTACAGAAATGTACTCTTGTCAACACATGCAGAGAATGTCAGGTTCTCCAGAGATCAGCCAGCATACCAGTTTATTCATTGGTCTTAAGAACTACAACCGTGCAACAGGCCCAGTAGCATTCAGTGATCTGGGCCTTCCCTCCCTCCATGTGGACATGAGTGTGGAGGCTTCGAAGAGAAGAAGAGTTCTCCAGGCTTAATTCATAATTGTCCCAGAGAAACTTGAGAAAGGGGGGTCTTGATCCCACAACCACAAATGCCTCTCTGATCATCACTAGTGTCAGGTCCTCTATTTTCAGGGTCTCTTACCTTCACAGCCCTGAATAAGCACTGCCAAATTCTGCCCAACTCCAGTTTTCCAGTGGTGCCGGACAGTTAAGCTGTCTACACCATCCAAGCCTTGTTCTGCCTGGCCTTGGACATTCTGCCTGTAAGGTGCAGGTATCGGTGTCATTTATTGTGTTAACTCTTTTACTAATTTGATGAGTAGGAAGTACTAAAAGGAAGTTTGATATTTTCCAAAATTATGACCCTATACCCATTTGATTGGTACTTTTTATAACCATTAGTTGTTCTTAGAAGAGTCTCTATCAACTTGTGAGTGACTGGTTTTATTTAATATGAATAAATACTATAATTATGTTTCAACATTGACCCAAAAGTGGCAACGTACCCGACTCGGGAAGGGCATTGTGCCTCATATTCAATATAGTGTGTCCAGTACTGCCCACCTACCTGGTATAGATGAAAACTAAATCAAGCTAGGTAATCAACAGTCTTAACATCATAACTAGTTATTTGCCTCCTCTTGCATTCATGTTCTTTGCTTAAAAACAGACCTTCCATTCACAGCTGCTGCTGCTCTTGCCCGTGTATCCCATACGTGCATTGCAGTCACTGAGAGGCACCTGATACATAGACTCCTAATAAATGAACATGCCTGGGGAAGGCTGCCTGCCACAACTGCTATGAGTAATACTTGCAGTGTGATGATATTGCTTCTTGGGAAAATTATATAGGCAATGATGAGAGCATCGATTGGGAAGATTATTCTCCTACCTTCGGGAAGTAGCACATAAGTAAGATAGTTCATTTGTTTTGCCATGTAGAAAACTGGATGGAAAACACAAACGGTTCGTGTTTCGTTTTTGTTTCATTTTCACTATTGCTGATTAGTGACATGCATTCATTTTGTATACCCTCGTGGTAGCAGATAGCTCCGCATGTCAACCTGAAAGTGTGCTTTCTATCAAAGATGATAGAGCTGATAGGGCTGCTGTCGAGGTGCATGAGGGCAGCTGACCAATGTACAATCAGGAGACGCTTCAAGACTAACAAGCTGTTGTCATCAGTGTTGATTTGCAAATCAAGTTGTTGCAAATGTATCCATCGTTCCAAGATGCCATTGCCCAAAATATGTATTGCATTCAATACATTTGTCTCACAAGTATGGTGCTTTGTTGCTTGTTTGTTTTAAACCAAAGAAGAGGGCTGTTGATGTTTTCATTACCCTTTCTATTTTACTCCTTTCTTTGAGGACTCCCTCAGGAGAAAGGAAAACTACTACTGCTAGCGGTTCTCCAACAGACATGGACCATCGTGTTCCAGAAGTGTCAGCCTTTGAACTGGAGCTTGTTCTGACCCTTTTCTCCTCTCAGTATTCCTTCTCTTGGGATTCTGCCTCTTAGATATGACCACCTTAATTTCAGACAAGCATTGACTTTAGCATTCATAGAAGAATGTTAGAGAATGCAGGCATTTGGGTGCTCTCAGATCCACAGGTCATCTCCTTGGTTATTTTTGTTCCTGGTAAAGTACAATGAGAACATACTATCCTCAATAAACTGTAAGTTATCAGGGAAAAGATCTTTATGTTAGAGCATAATTGATTCAAAGTATCACAAAACATTTTAATGTGAGAAACGTGCATATATTTTTTTTGACTCATTAAATTTGTCTTTTGCTCTGTGTAGTAGAATCTTATGTTAATTGCTTCAGTTCTAAATGGGATGTGAGTGAGGCTTTTTGATCTTATGACCCCCAAAAGAAGCAAAAAAAAAAAAATCAGTTATTTAATAAAGGATGACATTCATATCTAGCAATGAGTAAGAAAATATGTTTCAAAGCCATTTTACAGTCTAGACTCTTTTTGAAGTATAACTAAGATTGTGCTCTGCTCTGCAGTCAGCACGAGAGCAAGCATAAAGCAAAGGATATGAGGGCCGTGGGCCCTGGGGGTTATTGCACGTGGGAGCCATCATGTGCGTTGCATTTGAACCTGGCTGAGAGAGTCGTCCAAGACAGCCACTTGTTCCAGCCGTCACCCTCTTGCTAGAAAATTCGGTCTTCCTTCCCTACCATTTAAGAAATACATATAGGTAAATTTTTCTTTTTTGCATATTGGCAACCCTTAAGGAGACTCTTAATAATCCTAAACTTGGTTTTCATCCATGGTTTGCAAGAAAAATCAAACTGGAAACTTAAAATTAAGTGTGAGGTAAACCAAGGAAAATATTTTTCAGAGTTATTTCATATATTCCTCTTTTTTGAAATTGGCTTATTTTCCAGATAAAAATATAGAGATGCTATGAAAGGAAACTCCTTGGGAAATCTGGGGAAAAAATTATTTTTGATTAAATTTGGCAAACTGGATTTCCACATTTTGTGACATATACCTCATTCTCTACCAGTTCTAATGATTTATTTATTTACTCTTTTTTATTAAAATGATAAGGTATAAGTTGATTTGTGACTTTCTTAGAATTTGTAGAATAAGGTACGGTGTTTGTGCAAAGATTATTAAACTTTAAGCTCTTAGTTTAGAAATTTTCCTTTGGGTCGTTAGTAATATCTCATAGGACTAATTTTTATTATGCAGTTAGCCTTCATTAAAGCTGTTTAAAATTTGTTCCAGATGGAGTAAGTCCCTCCAAATAAGTCAGTCTTTCCTTAAAATAAATTTTTGCTATTAACTTGTTTAAAAGAAAAAACTAAGGCATGTCAAAAAATCTCATATTTTCATTTCTACAAATAAGACTTTTTTATTAACAAGTCTTAATGTATAAGCCAACTATTTTTATTTGCTGAGTACTATGTGATTGTGTTTAAACAACAAATACTTAGCTTTGTTCATCAAATTAAGATTAAAAAAATATGCTGAGAGAACTTCAGAGTTCATCAAACAGGCAGAAATCACAAATTGATTTTCTTTTTACAAGTTGGTGCCAGGTAGTATCCTTATTCAATTATGAAATAGAAGATGTTTAATAAAACTTAGGTGTATTACCTCTGGAACTTCATAAGTTGGATCCGACAGTTGCCAATAGACTCCAATGGTGATTATTTCCTTTTCACAGTGCTCCAGCTGAGGCTGCAACAAAGGAGGACGAGAGAACAACTAGTGGACCAGGGCATCATGCCACGTAAGATTTGTGTCCTTGTCATCTCTAATGTGATGTAACAAAATGGGCATGTCCAGGAAGAAGCTATATCTCACTCTACTTTCAGTTCTGTTCACTGAATCAATATATAACTACCACCTGAGTTTATAAGGAAAAACTAGGCATCAGCATTGCCAACCTAAGAGAATCATTTAAAATACATTTTGAAAACCAGATGCAGCTTAAAAGATGGACTTGAATTTTATATTATACAAAGAACACCTTTAAAATTCTGTAATGAGGTAACATCAGTCCTTACTTCAAACTTCAATATTTGCTTTAGTTTTGAAATAATTGAAGTGATCATTCTACATTATGGATCCAATGTGACTTAGACTTGTGAAAGCAACATAATAAAATTATTTCAAAAGCTTGTTCTCCTTTAATTTATTTAATTCAAATTAATTCTCTTCAATGCTCTAGTATGATCCATATAATAAGTGTATCTCAGTTACAGGACCAATAAACATTGTATTTATAATTAATAAAATCTTTCTTGCCCAAGGACAGATAGTTCCCAGGTACTTCTAGACTTCATTTTTGAGAGTTGATTGATTTTACAATATTTGTCCAAGTTGTCTTCTTTACTTTAATCACAAGGTTGGAGGTGATTTTATATTTTAGAGAGGAAGAGTAGTTATTTTTTGCAAGCTGTTAGGCATATGTATATGGATTTTTGTCTAAAAATTGATTTCTCTAAGAGTAACTTATTCGGCTTTAAAAAACTAGAAGGATATTACAAAATGCATTTATGCTTCCCAGTCTTCTGAATCATTGATACATTTTTTTTGATTTATGATAAGGGACGATTTTTCTCTGCAGTAGATATTTTTCCCAATTAAGGTTTTTTTTCCTGGACTGCTATTAATTATCTAAATATTTTAAATCTAGCATTGTGAGATAGAGTCAAAAGCTAGTTTGATAATCTGCCAGATTTCACCACCACTACATTCCTTACTATGAACCAATCAATCAAACAGGATCAAATTATGATGTTTAAGATACCAGTGCTAAGCTAGCTCTAGTCTGCTTTTGAGAGCTGGTCCTTAGCCAAACCTGTTTGGGCTGGGCTCCTGGGAGTCTGCAGAGCTTCAAGAACCAGAGCTGAAAATCATGCTACCCAGAGCTGATTGGCGGAATCTGGGAGGTGACAGCCCTATCCACACCATCTGACTGCCCATAGCTATCATAGATGCAGAGTGTTATCAGAGGGTGGGGAAATAGACACAAAAGATCTTGCAAAGATGACTGATAGCAATACTGTAGTAGATGATGTTTTAGGAAACACTGCTTACACTCACTCTGGGATTCTGGAATACTTAATATACTAACAGTTAACATATGAAAGAGTCACTATGTGTCTTTAGAGTGAGTTGCATTGTGGTATGGTAGAAAGAGCATGCACCTTTCAAATTCAGAATTCTAGATTTAAACCCCACTTTGACCACCATCTAGCTATCTGACTTCAAGAACTCATTTAACCTCTTTGAGTCTTTCATCTGTCCTTGGGCTATACTTACCTTTCAAGGTTGTTGTGATGATCAACAACAATATAGCCATGATTGACCACAGAGCACAGGGCTAAGCCCATTGTGGGTTCTCAGTAAATGGTAACTCAGATCTGTTAGACACGGAGTGCAGAGTGTCCTCATATTCAAGGTTAGAGCACTCCAAGGAGAATGTCCCTAGGACATTTGGGCTTTTTCCAGTAGCCTGTATGGCCATTAAGAACAGTTCCCATGGTAATGGTAATTTGCTCCAGCTATGGGTTGGAACTAGTCTGACTGATATTTGCACTGTCATTATGTATACACTTCTGTTTTAAACGTTCACTTGTTTTTTGTGTGAAATACATAATTTTAATTCTGAAATATTTAAGGTTTCAAATTTTGCAGGTCTCTTAAAGGAACTAGTAAATAAATGGAACTGTAGATGCAAACTTACTAAGATTGAGAGGAAACATCCACATGACATACTGTAACATTTGACTGAACTGTTAACTCCTCTATTTATACCACGGAAACAATTTTTCTTCTCACAGCTTTGAAGAGCCCAGCGGCATTCCATGAGCAGATAAAAAGCTTGGAACGAGCCAGAGTAAGAAATTTCAGTTTAAAATGTTCTTCTCTCTTTTATTTTATAGTAACTGTAGACAAGTAGCAATGTTACTCCTAAATATGTCAGTAGAGAAAATGTAGTGTATTTTCAGGATACATGGCATATAGAGTAATATATTCTGTGGTAGTTTTATCTTGGAGGTTTGCAAAAAATACATGCCATTCAAATTTGTTTTTTTAAAACCAATAACTAGGGCCTGGCCCAGTGGCATAGTGGTTAAGTTCGCGTGCTCCGTTTCAGTGGCCTGGGGTTCACAGGTTTGGATCCTGGGCACAGACCTAGCACCACTCGTCAAGCACACTGTGGCAGCATCCTACATAAAAGAGAGGAAGACTGGCACAGATGTTAGTTCAGGGACAATCTTCCTCAAGCAAAAAGAGGAAGATTGGCAACAGATGTTAGCTCAGGGTCAATCTTCCTCATACACACACACACACACACACACACACACAAACCAGTAACTAGTTTTGTACATAAAGGACAGGACAAATCACACTTCACTTTCTCACTTTCAGGGCATAACAGTTTTTAGAGTAATTATGGAGTAATTCTGCCATTTGTTACCCCTGCAGACAGACAGCCCGAGTGATGTACTGACACCAGATCCTTAGTTGATTTCCCTACTGGGTCTATGTTCTTGTACATTGGAGTAGGGGTAGGAGAATTTGGCTGAATGAAAGAATATTGCCTCGTTCAACTTTGCTTTATTCTTGGAGATGACTCTATTTTCACATTAAATTGATGTTTATTATTTTTCTTTAAAAAATACAGTTATGCACATTTGTTATTTTTGTTTTAGGGGAAAACTTCTATCATGCAATATGAAAATAAGCATGTTCCAAAAATTCTTTAAGAATTTTCCCAGGATGCACTCTCTTAGAGTCTTATAAAATGTAAAACCCATCTTAAAGCCCTTTTGTTTAGAGTTGAGTGCAGTTCTGAAAAGAAAATATGATCAAGGATATGAACTCATCAAAGAAAATAGATTAGGATTTTTAGAAAATTTGTTATCTAGGTGGATTTTTGCTTGACCTGAAGTGTAGATTTTATTGATTTTAGATATTCAAATGATCAAAATCCTATACCTGTTCAAAAATCATGCTCAAAATTATGAGCCTTTGTCTTTTTCAAGTTTTAAAATAAAAGTCTATAAAGCGCTTACTTTATACTGGCTACACTTCAAGTCCTTGTATGATTTTGAAGGCTGTAATTTAAATCACATATTGGATGATAGTTTCTCATAGTACTAATTTCTACTCTTCCTCTCAAAATCATGACAGAAAGGGTATACAGTTTCTTTAAATGGAGTACCTTGAGGAAAAACTGTAAAACCACAGAAAGTCATAAACAATTTATGGTAAGACTTTCTCTTTATTTTTTTTTTCAAGACTGAAAACTTTTTGAAACACAAGATTCGGAGCCGACCAGACCGTTCTGAACTTGTCAGGATGCACATTTTAGAAGGTAAATGTTTTATTTCTGCTTATTTTGCTGCATTTTGTCAAGAAAAGAAGTGAGAATTCCACCATTTATGTTTATTCCCATTTTAATAACTTTTTACCCCACAAGCTGACATGCTCCCAATCGGATAGCAACATGAAAACCCAAAGCTATTATGTTAGATACATGGGGAAGGTTTGATTCCCCAAATAACCAGTTGATGGACTGACTCTTCCCCACCAGTTGGTGCTATAAGTGTCTCTACCATACTGTTCTGGAAAAACATTTTTGGTCCTGAGGATTCCTGCATCAGTGAGGGACATGTGCGTGCTCATGAAGTAATATGGGTAGCACAGCCACAAGTCTAACCCTAAATTTTCAGCTACTCGGACCCAATGTCTGCCTGGTGCAATGCCCACACCTAACATTTTCCCTTTGTTGAAACTTACTCGCAACAAGCCACCTTGATCTGACTATTATCATAAACACCCTCCACTCGACCAACCAAATTTTCTCAGTGATGTAGCCTCTTCACTTATGAAATGGGTAGAGACAGTTCCATTCCATTTTGGTGAGACACATGGCTCAGGCCAGGGGGTTTTCTCTCTAAAGACAGGGCATTCTTGAAAGCCGGTATCTCCACCGTAAATTCCCAAGTTACATTTTCTTTCATTGTTTTACTTCTATACTTTATTGAGCAAGACTAGGAGCTTGACCCTGTGATATTCTTAAGTGTGTTAAACCTTGAGAAGATACAGGAAGAGTCTGAAAACTTCTCAAACATTTAAAGACAATTATCAGGTGGAAGGAAGTCTAGATTTGTTCTCTCTGGCCTAATGATAGAGTTAGTATTAGAATTAGGTTGATATTACAAAGTACTTGATTGTAGCTAAACATAAGGAATAATATCCTAAAGCTCAGACATGTCCAAAAATACGATCTTCAGGAAGTGTCATGGTTGCCACTATTAGAGGTGTTCATTCATTGGCCAGCAAGCTAGACACCAGAGGCCCAGCAAGTGAGCCAGACAGATGCCTGCCTTCATGGAGCTTACATTCCAGTGGCACAGATGCATAACAAACAGGCAGACAAATGAATTGCAGGTTGTGAAAAGTGCCGTGAGGGGAATAAACAGGCTGCTGTGATAGGGAAGAAGCACACGCTGACACCACGCTAGGACACTGTGAAGACGCGCCAAGTGCCAGGTTGGTCCCCCAACCCCAGCTAGGGCCTCTTCTAATCCAAAGAATCTATGATTATGTGACTGTCTTCATATCTGGGGCAGGCGCTGAGAGGTATATGCCTTTCTGTACTTTGGGTTGTGTTCTGAGAAGTCCACTGGACTAAGAAAGCTTTTCCAGAATTCCAGTGGTAGGGTAGGAGAAACTACCCGCTGTCAGGGATAAGCGATCTTCAAAGAAGCAAGTTTTCTGGTAAGTAACTGGGTAAATGGCTCCTTCTGTGCCTGAAAGTATCTTGACCTATAAGGGACATTTTTGCAGGAAAAATGCTGTCTGTTTCAACTTGCCTTCTAACTGTAACAGGATTTATTAATGAAATTAAAACTGAGGCAAATACATTTAACTATCAAAGAAATCGTGTTTGCTTTTTTTGTTTGTTTGTTTTTTTGTTTTTTTTGTGGGTTTTTTTTGTTTTTTTTTTGTTTTTCTGGAGGAAGATCAGCCCTCAGCTAACTACTGCCAGTCCTCCTCTTTTTGCTGAGGAAGCCCGGCCCTGAGCTAACATCCGTGCCCATCCTCCTCTAGTTTACACGTGGGAAGCCCACCACAGCATGGCTGCCAAGCAGTGCCATGTCCGCACCCGGGATCTGAACCAGCGAACCCCGGGCTGCCGAGAAGCGGAACGTGCGAACCCAACCGCTGCGCCACCGGGCTGGCCCCTCGTGTTTGCTTTTTTTTAAAAAAAGACTACCCAACATTTAAAAACCTAATCGTGTATATGAATGAACCACAGGTAACATCTATTCTCAAGTTGGGATTTTTGAAGTAAGAAAGAATGTGTCATCTATAATTTTTAAAAATACCTTAAAACCACCCCCCAACTTATTTTAACATTATCCCAATTTTGATTGGATTGGATGTTTGGCAGACGAAAGTCTAAATTATTTTCTGAAGTTCAGCGGCTAAACTCCAGCCTCAGCCTCATGGAAATGAGAAGGTAATAAGACGAGGAATAGAAACATACCAAAATGCCAGCCTCTGATTATTTGCTTTTGGAATATTTTCTCCCCAAACATATTCCTGATAGCACTTGGATGGTCTTAATGGGAGAGAGGAGAAAGGCAGGAGACTGTTTTACCTAGACCTTAACAAAAGCATTTAAACATCAACCTTGGGTCGGCCCCATGGCATAGTGGTTAAGTGTGAGCTCCACTTCGGCAACCCAGAATTCACCAGTTCGGATCCCAGGCACAGATCTACGCACCGCTTATCAAGCCATGCTGTGGCAGGTGTCCCACATACAAAACAGAGGAAGATGGGCACAGATGTTGGCTCAGAGCCAAGCTTCCTTAACAAAAAAGAGGAGGATTGGCAGCGGATGTTAGCTCAGGGCTAATCTTCCTCAAAAGAAAGAAAAAATCAACCTAAGAGTGATTTGGATGATCTAATTCTCCCCACCTGTCATCTTCCTATAGGGTTATAAATATCTTCTCTAATAAGATTGGGGCCACAGTTGGTTACACAGGAAAATTCTAAAAATGAGATGGGCACATATGTTATTTTAACATAGAGAAATGTGCATTTATTTGCCAATATTCGGACCTAGGGCTGGGGCCTTCCCTCTGGGAAAGTTTTTCCCCAAATCTTTTATAGTTGTTAATTGCCCTAACTAATTTGTCAGTGATTTTTTTTTAATGACTCACCTTTATCTAGTCTTCCAAAGCATTTAACCTAGGTTTCCAAGAAATAATAATTTTATTTTTGAGATTTATCATTTTCACATAATATTTAGCTAAATTATGTACTGACAATAGCAGTCACAATAGATATGAACTATTCTGTGGACAATCAAGGTTGACTTTTGGTAAGTATATAACTCAACAAGTGGAAAGAGAAGTGCTCAGATGTGCTGGAGATTAGTGTATCAGTCCTAGGCTTCCCGTGAACTTTGGGCTTCAGCCAGAACATTTACCTAGAGAATGGAAAACATCAGTTAGTCCTGAGATTACTTATGGGGAATTTCATTAAAAGACCTACTATATAATTAAAGAGACAAGCAACTTTCAACTCAGAAATTTGGGTTTAACACCTCATCGTTATTTTTAATCATTGATAAACATGATTAGAACAATGGAATAAAATGTTAATGAGAGTTACCAGAAATACAAGTAATTGACAGAATTAAGCAAATGAATGAGTTATGATTTATAGTAGATTCACATCTGTTGTACAGCTTTATGTACGTGTAAGTAAATGAGTTGATGTTTCTGTAGACCATTAATTACCATGTAGCTGAATGTTCCTAATAGACACAAGGTTATATATTCAGAGATAAACCCAAATTCTTAATTATGATGATCGACTCTGAGACACACTGGGGTCAATCCAAGCATATGATTTCTAGCTTTTCCCATTGACTCCAGAGAATCTTATATCCTAAGATGCAGTGTCTCCACTCTAGGAACTGACTTTCCAATGAAGCTACATCTAAAACTGTAAACTTGTTGAGCCATGGACCACATCCGTCTTGTGAATCCTCTGTATCCCCATACCTAATAAACGTGAATTTGACCCTTCTACCATAAAGGAGCAATAGTAGTACCCCATTTTTGGCTTGAGTTCATGTTAATTTGAGTCTGAGGGCATCCATATTGTATAGACAATATAAAGCTGGATATCCAGAACTAAAAAGGTAAAATGCATACTGGAGCACTCATAAACAGTCATTTTTTCTTTCCATAAATATATTGAGAACACCTAAATATGTTTAAACCAGTTTCAATTAAATTAGTTGGCCTGAAATAACGTTAATGAATAGAGATAGTAATTCAAGTCATGGTTAAAACTGTGTTTCCTCTTTTAGAAACGTTTGCAGAGCCGTCCCTGCAGGCTACTCAGATGAAGTTGAAAAGAGCTCGACTAGCTGATGATCTGAACGAAAAGATTGCTCAACGACCCGGTCCCATGGAGCTGGTAGAGAAAAACATCCTTCCTGTAGACTCCAGTGTTAAGGAAGCAATTATAGGCAAGTTTCTAAAAATTTGCTATTTTCTGGGAGAAGGAAAAACTTGGAAGTTTTAGATAAAACAAATTTTAAAAGGCCAGCACCAATCATGAGTATTGTTTTCTGGGTGAATTAGAAATTGATTAACACTCGCACTGATTCGTATTATTATTATCATATTATGTATTGTAGGACTAGCATCTCTTACCAAATTAACACAAATTCCTCTTGTTACCTCTGAGTTAAGTCTTTAAGCTCTGGTTTCGTTATCATGTTTTCTAAGTTAAATATACTGTTTAGTTTCTGTTGTTTTGTTTAATATTTTATAAACTTTTCTTTATTTTAGTTCTGTTCTAGGAAAGATAAAGAAAAGTAGCTTGTTCAATGTTAGTTCAGCAAGGTGACTAGCAGATGAGTATAGATGTATTCATTAAGAATGGTGGCATCTGTCCATTTTATCCCAGTTTTATCATGCTTAGTTCCTAATGTTTCCCTTTTTTTTTTTTCCTGGCATAAGCTTTAGCAGAAAACATTTTTTTCCAGAATAATGCCACTTGTTCAGCAAGCAGTTTTGAAAAGTTAATATCCTACTTTAAAAACTATCATAGTTTCCATTATTCATGGGGGACTTCATATTTTGCGTTAGTATGAACTTAAATCTTAGATAATTTGCAGTTAATAATTCTAAGTAGTACAGTCAACTGTGATTCCATTCAATCCCAAAGAGATGGGCCCCAAAAGGTAAGCTGTCTGTCTCGCTGGGCCGCTCCTTGCAGTGGGACTTATCAACAGATGCCCAGTCTTAGCCCCATTTTCCCCATTGCCTCATAATGTTTTTAACAGCTAGATTCCAAATCAGAATCCAGACAAGGTCCAAACATTGCCTTTGGCCGCTGTATCTCTTAAAGTCTTAGTAATCTCTTGGGTGGGTCTTCCTCCTCCTCTCTTCTTGATGAACAGGCTTGTTTTGTCCTCTAGCATTTCCACACTGTGGATTTTACTGGTTGCATTTGTATCCCCAGGTGTCATTAAAAACGCTCTTGTCTCCTGTACTTCCTGTAACTAGTAGTTGGAACCAAAGGCTTGATCTGATTCAGGTTTGATTTTTTTTTTCACCAGTATTCATCATAGGTAGTGGTGTGTTCTTCCACTGGGAAGTACATTATGTTCAATTTTTTTTTAACCAGCTTCTTAAGTTCTTAGAATAAACAATGTTTCTCCTCCTTATTCATTTTAAGCTTGGTGTTCCAAGGCCAAGATAAGTTAAGAATCATTTCTTTCTTTAGGCGTCGGGAAGGAGGACTACCCCCAAACTCAGGGCGATTTCTCATTTGACGAAGACAGCAGTGATGCTCTGTCTCCGGACCAGCCAGCCAGCCAGGAGTCTCAGGGGTCAGCCGCATCCCCAAGTGAGCCAAAAGTTAGCGAATCGCCATCTCCTGTGACTACAAACACTCCAGCCCAGGTATCACCTCTCTTGTTTTTACCCCTAAATAGAGAAAGTGCTTTGTTTTCTATATATCAAGGTAATACATTTTCACCAGAAGAAAAGTCTGAAAGTGCTAAAAAATAGGGATTTTCACCTATAATCCAACCACTGTTAACATTTTTCAATAGATTCTTATATTTTATTTCTGTTCTATATGCACATTTTCATTTCACAAATGTTTTTGTAACTCACATTTTAAAATTTTTCAGATAACTTTTCTTTTTGAGCACTGAACTTTAACCACTAGGCCCTCAGGGCTGGCTCATAACCTTTTTTTTGAGTTGTAATTCACATACCATAAAATCCACCCTTTGGTTTTATCATTTTAACCATGTTAAAGCATACAGTTCAACAGTGTTAAGTATACTCACATTGTCGTGCACCACTCTCCAGAACTTTTTCATTTTGCAAAACTGAAACTATACCCGTTAAACAAGTCCTCATTCCTCCCTCCCCCAGGTCCTGGCAACTACCATTCCGTTTCTGTCTCTGTGACTGAGTATTTCTCTCTCGTATAAGTGGACTCATACAGTATTCTTTTTGTGACTTGCTTATTCTACTTCACATAATGTCCTCAAGCTTTATCCATGTTGTAGCATGTGACAAGATCTCCTTCATTTTTAAGGCTAAATAATATTCCATTGTATGGATAGACCACATTTTGTTTATCCATTCATCAGGGGATGTTTGGGTTGTTTCCATCTCCTGGCTGTTGTGAAGAATGGTGCTGTGTACATGGGTGTGGAATGAACTTTTTGAGACCCTGCTTTCAATTCTTTGGGGCATATACCCAGAGTTGGGATGGCTAGATCATATGGTAGTTCTATTTTCAATTTGTTAAGGAACCTCCATGGTCTTCTCCACAGTGGTTGTACCATTTTGCACTCCTACCAACAGTGCACAAGTGTCCCGATTTCTCCACATCCTTGCCTACACTTGTTAATTTCCGTTCTTTTGCTAGTTGCCATTCTAATAGTGTGAGGTGATATCTCATTATGGTTTTGATTGGCATTACTCTAGTGATTAGTGATGTTGAGCATCTTTTCATGTGCTTATTGGTCATTTGTATATCATCTTTGGAGAAATGTCTATTTAAGTAAGTCCTTTGCCCATTTTTTAATCAGGTTATTTAATTGTTTTGTTGTTGAGTCATGGGAGTCCTTTATATATTCTGGATATTAACCCCTTATCAGATATAGGATTTGCAAATATTTTCTCCCATTCCATGGGTCACCTTTTTGCTCTCTTGATAGTGTCCTTTGATGCACAGAAGTTTTCAAGTTTGATAGAGTCCCATTTGTCTGTTTTGGGTTTTGTTGCCTGTGATTTTGGTGTAATACTAAGAAATCATTGCCAAATCCAAGGTCATGAAGCTTTTTCCCTGTGTCTTCTTCTAGGATTTTTATAGTTTTGGATCTTACATTTAGGTGTTTAATCCATTTTAATTTTTGTATATGATATAAGGGTCCAACTTTATTCATTTGCATGAGGATATCCAGTTTTCACAACACCATTTGTTGAAAAGACTGTCCTTTCCCCTTTGAATGGTTTTGGCATTCTTGTCGATCATTTGACCATAAATATAAAAGTTTATTTAAGGGCTCTGTTCTATTGCATTGTCTTTTTGCCAGTACTACACTGTTTCAATTTCTGTAGCTTTGTAGTAGGAAGTGTGAGACCTCCAACTTTGTTCTTCTTTTTCAAGACTGTTTTGGCTACTTGGGGTCCCTGAGATTCCATATGAATGTCAGGATGGATTTTTCTATTTCTGTAAAAAATAGCACTGGGAAAAGTCATCCTTTTAAAATGTACAATTTAATGGTTGTTAATATATTCTCAGAGTTGTGCAACTATCACCACTGTCTGATTCCAGAACATTTTCATTATCCCAAAAAGAAACCTACACTCATTACCAGTCACTCCCTGTAACCCACACTCCACCCAGCTCTAGGCAACCATCAGTCTACTTTCTATCTCTGGCTTTGCCTATTCTGGACATCTTATGTAAATGGAATCATAGAATATGATGTCTTCTGTGACTGGCTTCTTTCACTTAGCAAAATGTTTTTAAGGTTTATCCAAGTTGTAGCATGTATCAGTACATCATTCTTGTTATGGCTGAATAATATTCCATTGTATTGATACACCGTATTTTGTTTCTTTTCATCAGTCAAGGGACATTTGGCTATTAATAATAATGGCGCTATGAATGTATGTGGACAAGTTTTTATGTGGACATGTTTTCATTTCTCTTGGGTGTGTACCTAGGAATGGAATTGCTGAGTTTATGTGTAACTTCCTTTTATACCTTATAATAATTATGATAGTGTTTCCTTGTTGATAAGTATACATTTATATCATTTTAGTGGCTACATAGTATTCAGTTGAACTGATAGACTCCATCTCTTTTAACCAGTTCCCTGTTGTTGGTTATCTAGAGCTGTTTCCTGTTTTTCACTCTTATACACACAATAAGAGCCCCTGTGGTATTCTCACACATTTGTTACACCCTGGTTTCTTTACATATATTGTTGGGCACCTGTCTAATTATTTCTTTGGATAAATTACCAGATACTGAAATGGACTTGGACCTTTTGTTAGGCAAAAACGTAGGCACTTTAACTGCCTTCTGGGAAGGTAATACAGATTTCCACAGTCATTATGTCTTTTCCACAAGTAGGTAATATCATTATTTTAAACCTTGCACACCGTTTAAGATCTGAATGTTTTGGGGGCCGGCCCGGTGGCGCAGCAGGTAAGTGCGCACGTTCCGCTTCTTGGCGGCCCGGGGTTCACTGGTTAAGATCCCGGGTGCGGACATGGCACCTTTTGGCAAAGCCATGCTGTGGTAGGCATCCTACGTATAAAGTAGAGGTAGATGGGCATGGATGTTAGCTCAGGGCCAGTCTTCCTCAGCAAAAAGAGGAGATTGGCAGTAGTTAGCTCAGGGCTAATCTTCCTCAAAAAAAAACAAAAAAGATCTGAATGTTTTAACTGGCTCCTTGATTTTGGTTAGACTGAATTCATTTGTTCAACAAATATTTATTGAGCATCTATTATGTGTCAGATTGTATTGGGAACTGAGAATCTAGTGCATGCAAAAGAATCTAATAAATTTTTTTATAATTGCATTAGAAATTCGCGTTTCTTATTTTTTAATGAGTGTTCGTGTTTCTTTTGATTTTATAAGAATTTGTATGCTGCACATAATTGTTTTTTATCACTCCTTATGGTATTTCTGCCTTACTGAAATTTTAATAGTATTCACTTATTTTGAAGTTAAAACTATTGAACTATTTAATGGGATTGATTGAGTTCAGTAGAAAATGTTCTTTTTAAGGCCTAGCGTCATAGAATTTTTGACTTGGAAAGGAATTAAGTAATTATCTGCCTTAACTCTCATGCCAGAGGAGGCCTGGGTTCAGAGAAGTATGGAAGTTTGGGGATTAAAAATGGTTGCATATTTTCTTAGAGCATTTCTTCTCAGTCATGAATATCTATTTGTTAGGGATTATGTCTTTCAGCATTATTTTATTCAATGCACTTATTACCATGATCTGAAATATGTTAATTTGTTTATTGTGTCTATTCCTCCAACTAAAATGTGACCTATGAGGAGAAGGACTTTGACTCTTAGGGGACAAGAGCTGCCTTAGAGTGTGTGTGTGTCCTCAACATGGAGCACAGGGCCTGGTACAGAAAACGTGCTCTGCATGCTGGATTCAGCACCACGAGCGCTGACCGACGCCCTGCTTGTAGAAGCAGTGTTTGTGTTCTTCCATTTGACAGCAGAGCCTCTCCAACTGGATCCGTCAAGAGTAGTGCGGGAGCTACAGTTCATACTCTCCTGTCTGTCAGAGTTTACAGGGCAAGAGTGAATGGCCCCTCAGCTTTGCTGGACCCTGGCCTGGAAGAAGGATGAGGGTCACTGACCAGCCCATGCTCTGAGGGCTAAGCAGGCAGAAAGGGAGAGCAAGGGAGACAGCCCCTACTGTATTCTCACATATTTGCTGCACCCTGGTTTTGAGCTTTAAAAATAGGGCTAAAAAGAATGTCAAGTATGTAAGTAAATACCATTAAAAAACAGTTCTACTTATCCATTTGGGTTGTTTGTTCTCTGCTTCTGTCTGAGTAGGTCAGGGTATTAGACAGCTATTAGCATGGCTTTAGCTTTTAGTAACACAGAATTTTTGTCACCTCAGCCATCTGCTTGGTGATGGCTTCATGACAATTCCACCTGTGTAAGGGATTATTTTTCCCTGCATTACTCAGACTATTAGGTTTTTTACTTTGCTCTTGAAGCTGGGTCTCCAGCTGAGTTTATAAGTGAGAAACTTTAACCAGAGGCAGTCCCACCCAGTGCGCTGACATTCCAGCATTCCTTGATGGAAAAAAGCAGTGTTTCTTGAAGAATAAATATGATCTATTTATTGCCGGTGCAACACACACTAAGCCTTGGGTCATTCCTGGATTTAAGCATTAGTTTTCACAACACTCCTTAGTGTTGCTGCAGAGCCAGCTCTGACTGCCTCACTTGATATATATAAAATATATTCATCTCTGTAATCATAGTTACTTTCAATGTGTAGTTCAAGAGTAGCTGGACATGTTGTTTCTCATTAAATGTCAGTTTTCCAGAGGGCAGAGTCCCCTCCTTTTATCTGAGTAACCTCATGGTGAACACACAGGTCCAACGCAGAGCAAGTGCTTATGGCTTTAATGAATGAAACCCTTCAGAGATTATCTCTGCAATTTATTTTTTCCTGCTTTAGAATATCATTGCACCCCCAAAAAAGTCAGTCTCATCACTAGTGTTAAAATTGTCCTTATAAGGCAAAGATACTAAGAGAGCAGCATAAACTTCTTGTTTTTTGGGTATTCTTTAAAATGGAAACTCAGTGTAAGAATTCGACGCTGAATTTAGTTACTATAGATCCATGGTCCTCAAATTGCCACAGTGAAGGACTAGTTGGTGT